TAGTTTTAAGGATTAAATTATCCACTAGTTGGTATAAAAAAAAATGCAAAACTAAACCAATTTCAAATTTGTTATATATAATTATAAATATGAATATATTAATTTCACTCCATAGATAAAGAAGGCTTGAAACTCTCTCTGACACTATTTTCGAGGTATCAACTTTGCCAATGGTTTCTGACGCCGGTGGAGCTATTGCTCGCCGGCGTCGGGATGTTTCGTCTTCTCTAAGTGTTCTTTGCAAGTTCTCCTCCGTTTGTACCCATTCTCCTTCAATGACTGCAGATTTTGATATCCCTTTCTCAATGTCTTCTAATGGCTATTTCGAGATCTGTTATAAAGAAAGGAGGTCGATTACGGCGAGTCCCCTTCTACCCTACCCTCTACCTATAGAGTTGGTTTCGAAGTCAATAAAAGAGAAGTCTTTTGAATCTAATGGTGTTTCATCCTTCAAATCTGAGATTTGTCTCATCATCTCTCTGAGATCCACTGGATCTAGAGCTCCCTCGGGTAATCCCGTAAAACTTTCTCACCGGTCAACGTTGACAAACATGTCCCCTATCTCCTAGTCATTTCCATTTGGCTTCTCGAGGTATCATCGCAGGAAAATCATATATTTTGGTTCCAGAAGTCTTGAGGTCGTGGAGCCAAAACTTGTCGTCGTCGCCGGTGAAGATAATGACGGCGAATGACTTTGACCTAAAATTTTATGTGGTCTCCCTTGATGGCTTGACCCACTATTTCGCTGGCAATCTTTTGGCCCAACTTACGACTCATCTCGGCCCATTTATGTGGTTGTTGGCTTAAATCCCATTCCCAGGTCTGTTCCTTTCAACTTATACGACAATTCTTTATTCATGCCTCAAAGTTGTTTTGATGTGCCGAATGTCTTAGGCTTCATGTCACAACTCATTTCAACATTCTTATTCTGGTTGTTCTCTCAATGGATTCTACTCTCGTTGAAGAAATCATCTCGGGTAATTCCCGAAGAACCTATAATATTGACGATGCTCTTTGTTCCGATGCTCTTTGTTCCAGCTACGCTCCTACGGTGTCAGCAATCACAAACTAGTTTTGTGCACAGTCTGATTTGGTTTACGGATTCAACAAAAGGTTTCGTGTCTTATCGGAGAGAATTTGATCTTTGTGTTAGAGCTTCAAATCATAGCTTAGCCGACTTTTAGGGTCTCTTTGCTTCAAACTCCTCCTACGTGGAGAACATTTCCATCAAGTTACTGTGTTTGGTTAATTTCTGGCTTTTAAGTCGAGAAATCGTTTGAGTATCATAACCGTTTTACTATCTTGTGTAAGAGTCCGTTTGGGACTTGAAGATGTAACGTGTTTCACGCCGGCGAGATCCGAGGTTATGTTCTCCTTTTCAACGTCAAAATGGCAATGCCAAATGATTAATCAACTCCTCGAACTGTTCGTGGATGTGCCTTCGACTCACCAATATCTCGCTTGTGGCAAGATGCTATCTAGCTCATGTCTCCAAGATCTTTTGGATTTACAGTCGTCGTATCTCGTTTATCTATCTCTTTCATTGTTGAATGTTTATTCCTTTGCGTACTAAACTTAGAGTTCCTTGAACTCATATCTATCTTTGTAATCCGTTTGACCTTTTGAATAAAATCAAGGTGTTTGACAAAAAAAATAATAATAATAAATATGAATATTGTTTGATAAATTACTTTAACTAAAATTTGAGTTCCAAAATATTTTTGGCATTTTTAATTATTCAAATATATGTTTAACACTGATATATTAAT